TGTTCTCTTTTGCAGCTTTCAGTATTGTCTCTTTGTTCTGTACATTTAGTGTTTTTACTATGATGTGCCATGGAGAGTTTCTGTTCTGGTCCTGTTTGGTGTTCTGTATCCTTCTTGTATTTGTATGGGCATGTCTTTCTTTAATTTTTGGAAATTTTCTTCTACAATTCTGTTGAAGATCTGGTGCATACCATTATCTTGAGATTCTTCTCCTTCTTGTAGGCCTATGATTTGTGAGTTGGGTCTTTTTATGGTGTCACACAATTCCTGAATATTCCATTCTTGTGCTTTCTTAAATTTTTCATAATCTTTGCTTGAGTGGTCTAGTTCGTCCACTTTATCTTCCAGTCTTGATATTCTGTTTTCCATTTCATTCATCCTATTGGTGAGGCTTTCTCCTGTCATTTTTAATTGGTGTCCTGAGTGATTCACTTCCTTCTTCATTTCAGCCTGAGTAGTCTTCAATATTTCTAGCTTTTTTTCTGAAATTCATTCAGAAATTTGTCCCTATCTTCCTTCAATCCTTTGATTTCTTTGTGTGTTCTTTAAATTTACTGAATTCTTTTATCATGTTTATAATTGTTCTTTGGAGTTCCATGTTCTGCATTGTCTCTAGGGGGTTCTCATTGTACTCCTCTAGAGGACTATTTGTATTTGGTGAAGATATGTTAATTTGGTTTTTCATGTTATTATTTTTTCTCTGTGATTTTTACACGTGAATTTCTTTTGTAGTTTCTGAATCTTGTGTGAGACTCAAGCATTCAAGTTTAGGTCTGCTTCTTTTTGTAAACTTTTATGTGCCTTTGTGGTTTATTTTCTGGGCATGAAAAGCTGGTTCATATAAGCTTTTGGTTCTCTCTTTTGATTTTATATTGGAGTGGCCAAATTGCTTTTGTCATCAGGAGTTCCCACAGAGTCCCAAGTCAGATGAGGATTAGATGCTCCTAGGCTTTCTCCTGAGGTCTAGATCCCTCCAGGAAAGATGTCTTATGTATTTGGGGGTTAGACTGGCCTAGGAGCAGGACCCAGGAAAGATGCTGGTCCCAGGAAGCTACTGGTGGTGCCACCCAGGGATGCAAAGAGAGGTGGGTGTTTGGAGAGGCCCCAAGGGCTCCTGGGGACTGCAGGGAGAAACTGGGTTGGTTTGGATGCAAAGGATCAGGAAGCAGTGGTGGCTCCAAGCAGAGAGGTCAGCCCCGGTGTCTGGGGTGCCAAGACAAGAAATGGGCCAGTACCCAGGCTAGGAAGAGAGAACGGGCAGAGGAGCTGGGAGGGTGAATGAGCCTCGGGGGTGGTCAAAGCACTGTGGGCACCAATGGACTTACCCAGAAAAGAGGCTGGAGGGTTGTACAGCCCAGGGAAGCAGAGGGAAGTGAGGGTGGGACCAGGCCCAGAGGGCTCCTGGAAACTGTGAGAAGGAACAGGTTTGTCTGGATGCAAAGGATCTGGAAGCAGTGGTGGTTCCCTGCCGAGGGGTCAGCCCCCAGTGTCCAGGAAAGAGGCTGGTGGGTTGTGCAGCCAAGGGAAGCAGAGGGTGGTGAGAGTGGGGACCAGGGCCAGAGGGCTCCCAGGACCCTGAGAAGGAACTGGGTTGGTCTGGATGCAAAACATCAGGAAGCAGTGGTGGTTGCAGGTCAAAATGTCAGCCCAGGTCTCCAGGAAAGAGGCTGGTGGGTTGTGCAGCCCAGGGAAGCAGAGGGAGGTGAGGGTGGGACCAGGCCCAGA